TGGGCGCAAAAAAAATGACGTCAGCTCATGCACTGCAAAAGCCAGAGCTACCTTCTTAAACTTGCGGCATCTTTGGCGACAGAAGGGAATCTCCCTCCGTCTGAAAGGCCGTATATACAAGGCCACAGTGAGGGTCGTTCTGCTCTATGGGAGTGAGACTTGGCCCCCTTCGGTCTGAAGATCTGAGGCCCCTTTAAATCTTTCATCTTCGTTCTCTGCGATGCGTTGCTGGTGTTGGATGGCGCCAGCGTGTCCGAAACGATGATGTTCGTAGGCGAGTACTAGGTGGTGTTAATCATGCTAGCTCCCTAGAACAACAGATAGCACTGAATAAGTTGCATTGACTCGGGCACGCGCTGCGTTTGTCCGGTCACAGCTTACCTAGGAGGGTCTTGTTTAGTCTGCCAGGTGTAGGGTGGCGAAAGGCTCGCGGTGGACAGAAGTTGAGTTGGCAGCGGGAAATGAAGTCACTAACGACCAAACCGGATGCCGTTGCTCCGTTTCGCCTTCCAGGCTGGAGTCCACGTGACTCGCCTTGTGCTTGGCTCGAGACTTTACAGGACATGGCTCGCAGTAAACAACAGTGGCGCGTCTGCTGCCGTCTCTAATCAGATTGCCTGTTTAAAGTGTGTTTGGTGCTGAGTTATCTGCGGGGTAATGGCTGATTATGACGCGTGGCAATAAAAGCCGCAAGGAAGCTGTCTCGTTGCTGCCGCTTTATCTTTGCACGATAACCAGTTGTTTTTGACGATATTTTGTCTACACATGGTGTACGCACCTTGGCCTTGAACGATTGCTTAGGGCATTAAAGCTTTCAGGTAAGTCCCCCTTCCCCCCTCTGCTTATGCTTTTATTTCATAGGTCCTCGTGGTTGTATGGCAGCAAAGCATCAGTTCAAATGGCTGATGTACTGCTGTTGTTGATGAAGATGACATATATATATATATATATATATATATATATTTATATAGTTGGCAGCATCCGGTTTCGGATTTGCTTGTCACTGTGGCAAACCACAGGACGCCTGCGCCTACAAAAGAGACCGTGTGTGGCATGCTCTGCATTACCCACAGCTCCAACCACACACCCCATATCCAGTGTAAACCCGAAGGAATAAGACCGGGAGGCATGTGGATGGGAGTCACGTTTCATCAACGGAGCCGGCCCACACTCCTTCACAGGTAAACACAAGCAGGCTGTAGTTGGGAATCAGTCGCACACACGGCGGTGGCTGGACCGTAGTCCGCTCCAAACGGACTGCATGGAACCACTCTTCGAGCCTAACACGGCGAAATGGACCGTGCACCCCGTCCCCTCCAGCAAAGACCAACTGTCTCCTGGAGCCAGTATGAACGAGGTAGTGGGTAATAGATAGGTAGGCACCTTGTCAACATGCACATCTAGCACAGCCACACCGGGGATATCAAGCAACAGACAGTCACTTGTGAGAAGGATACAAAGAAGATAACTCGATTAATGCATAAGGAAACGGTGACATAAATCCTAAATTTATGAGCATATGAAGTAACTTGTTTACAAACGAATCCTAGATAAGTTCACGAGGTCAGAATGTATACTTTACGGGAACGCCATGAACACGAAAATGTTATGGAAATCGACTACAATTGGCTTAAGCAACGTGTGCAAATTAATGGAATAGAGTTAAGGTAGACACTTATATAAGAAAAGCATTAGGGCAAAATTGAAAACCCACCACCTGAAATAAATAGACTGAGCATGCAAGCACACGGTTAGTAAATCGAATGCAACGTACCTACAAAAGCTGCGCCCGTTCTGCTTACGTTCTCTGCAGAACCTGTCGACGTTTCGATGGTGGTCCCGAGTGGCCTTGCCCATGGCTCACTTGGCCTGCCTGACTCAGGCACTCGCGACCGCATGTGCTACAGCAGCATGCGCTCGACGTCGATGGAGTAGAATGCATCGGTGCTTGCCATTTCAGAAATGTTCGCTCCTTCTCTGCACGCATGAGGGCTTTCTCCCGCATTTCAGCAAATGCCTTCGTGATAAGATTGCGCCATGCACGCAGATCAACCGCCTTCGATTCCCATTATCTGCAACCAAGATTAGAACGTGTGAGGCCCACGTTAATCATGTCCTGGTAACGTAACTTTGGTTTCCCCATATGCCGTTTCCTAATACTCAGCTGACCGTATAAGAGTCGTTTCGGTATCCGCGTCGAATCCATACGGCTCACATGACCTAGCCACCTCAGGCGTTTCAGCAAAAGTATGCAGTCCACTGCAAACATCCCACTTCGGCGAAACACTCCCGTGTCAGCAACATCGTCGCTCCAACTGATGTGCAAAATTTTTCGCAGACACTGTTGATGGAACCGCTCGAGATATCGCACATCCCGACCGTACATCGTTCACGTTTCACTGCCGTATAGAAGGAAGGACAGTACCATGGATTTGTACACCATCAGCTTCGTGCCAATGGTAAGCTGATGGTTGTTCCACACTCGGTACTCAAGCTTCCCTAATGCCGCTGCTGCCTTCGACACGCGGATACGAAGCTCACCGGTAAGCTGCTGATCAGTCGATATCACACTCCCAAGGTAGAAGAAGCGGGAGGTGGTTTCCAATACTTCAGCACCAATGCTGATTCGCGACAATATTGAAGATTGCACCTCCGGTGAAGGCTGAAAGAGACAGACAGTTTTGCTTGTGTTGATGGTGAGCCCTAATTCGGCAGTTGTCGAAGTCAGAGCACTAGTCACGTGCTGCAACTCATCCGCGCTGTGTGCAAACAACTCACAGTCGTCAGCAAACAGCAAAATACGGATAGTCGTCCCACAGACTAGAGTGCCCGTACCGAAACGACGGATGTTCAGCAACCCACCATCAATACGGTGCTCCACACGAACACCGTAAGCACAAACAGCATCAAAAGCACAAGACATCATTGCATGGAGATAGATGTTAAGCAGGGCAGGAGTTAAGACAGCCTTGCTTCACACCAGAGACAACTACAAAGTCATCCGAGGTCTCTCCACTCAGCTGCACCCTCGCTCGCATACCAATGTGGAGACATTCTACTAAAAGTGTAAACTTACGCGGGCAATCAAACTTACCCAAAACCAGCCATAATGCCTCGCGGTTCACCGTATCAAATGCCTTGGTAAAAGCAACAAAAATCGAGTACAATGGCTGACTTGTGAGGGCCTTCGTTTACGAATCGATACGCAACTGCGTACGTGACAAAACCGGTTGATCAGGTAAACAAATTGTTTAAGGACCACCTCGAGCAAGTGGGACAATTAGCTGGCCTTCATGGAATTGATGAACTAACTCAACGACCCGCCTATTTGAACATTATATTGCGCTGCCTAGCAATACACGGCTTATTTATAAGTATTAACAATGGAACAATGGAACAATGGATTTATGCGGGTATAAAAGCTAAAGCTTGACAAATCCCGTAGGGTGATCAGTGTGAAAATCATAGAAGTGTGGAAAATTCAATGGAAACCAATTCAGTAAAATCGTTTAACAACGAGTCACTACAAGCTTGTGGACTCACCGAATTTGAAGTGTCAAAATAATAATCCACTATAACTCGGAGGGAATCATGAGGTATGGAGTATTTGGTTAAAAGAGTCACCGCCCCTTGAAATTCGCATGGGGCAAAGTGTTTGAGTTTGAAACGTCAAAATACACATCCACTGTTGAAATTTGCGTGGGGAAAATTATTTTTAAAGTATGGATTTTGGATCTCTCAAAACTAGGCTGTACTATGGGAGATAGTGCAATGAAGTGAGTGCACTATCAACTCGATTTTTGAACTCGATCAGGTTGGGTGCACTGACTACAGATTCCGGGAGAGCATTCCAGGCTTGGCAAACACGCACGGAAAAGAAATTCCGTCGACATTCCAAACGGCTGTACTGCACTGCCAGCTTCAGATGATGGCCTCTCAGGTTGTTGTTGTTACTGAGCTCCAGCAGATGGCGATGAGGAAATGGTAAATAGATTTTTATACTTTAATTAAATGCAGTGGTTGTGTACGAGCAGTGTAGTGCTACCTCTGATTTCTTCGGCCGAAATGTTGTCTAGTTCATTAATATTCGTAAACCTAACTCAAACACGACATATATTGCTTAACTAGCTTCCAGTAGCACATTTAACTGCTTGTGTCTTTATCCTTTGCACACAAACTTTCAAGCTCATTCACTTTGTTTGATCCAATTAAACTAATACATCCAGCTCGTTGCATCACTAACTAATTATATATAGGCAGACGCGAAATCGCAGTCTCAGCTATTAGTTACACCGTCAATGCCATAATCCCGTATCTCACATGGTCACCAGATACCACTCAAATTACTGTATCCGTTTTTGAATTGGTGTAACCTGCTTTATTTAGGATTTTGTTTAACCTTGGATAATTCTTCTTTCACTACTCTCTGGTTTCGTTCGGTGAGTTCTTATCCACGGTAGCCGCTTATAACCCAGTACGCTACCCTGTACACTTCATCACTCTTGATTGCGACGTTCCCTGTTTTTACGTAACTAATCAACGCCCGATGAATGACAGCTGTCTGCATTTGAAACACGGTCATGCGTCGAAATCGGCGTTAATATTCACTGGCTGTCAAAGCCTAAGCTGGCCAAAGCAAGCCGTTAAGGGCAAAGAGTACGGTGCGCAAGCAAACATGCAGGGTTTCTTTCAGAACTCGCTATGATATAATTCTGTCGGTTGTATTGAACAAAAAGCGCAATTACAAATAAATTAACGTGTTAACGTCTAAGCACTGAGATCTACTCAGTCCAATGACTGCATGCAATAACTCTATTATCGCACCAAAAGTTGACTTAAAGGAATACGTGTAAGATCTCTTCAGTGCAAGAGCTTTATTGAATAATGAGGTTACAAACAATTGGTGATGCACGAAGTTTAGGATCAAAGTTGCTGACATTCCTATGAACATGATCATTGTAATAACAGAAGCGATAGGAGGATCGGGAAAAGCAAATTCTCAGCAAGATTATTTTGGGATTAAAAATGTTAGTATTGCGGTGTTAAATTTATCTCTTGCGAACTTCATCACCTGGAATGAAATTTACGTGTTTATGAGTGACATGAATCACGTAAGCGGAGACATGAAGTTTTGCTTAACACATTTTAGAATGCAACCTAAAGTCTAGTGGGACACAGGCTATAGTCTGCGATTAATTTTCAGATATATATATATATATATTTATACCATTGATCGTCTAAACGATGAAGTTCTAAAATGCAGTCTTTTTGAACTTAAGGTCATTCATTTTAACATGAAGCCAGATAATAATTAATATTTAAATGTTTAGAGATAGTTTATCACTGCCCACTCTTAGCCAGCAGAATTTGGCTAGTCTGGAAAGGCAATAGACACCTGTGTTTTGATCTTCCTCGTCCCGTCAGTGGTGCACTTCCAGCCGATCCCTACCTGGTTCCGTCCCGATTACTTTCGACTGATAGTAGCTAGTGCCACTTAACCATGGGTAATATCCACGGACCTGTATGATTAAGAGTTGACTAAGATATAACCCGGCTCATATTCTACTGCTGTGTCAGTTACGAACTGTGCAGAGGACAGCAGTTATGCGGATTCGAATGTATTCGGCCTTGGTGTAAAATCGGGATTATATTGTTAGAGTGTTTATTTAGTATTACGGTTAGATTCGTCGCATTTAGCTCCAAGGAAATGGTCATTACACATCCATGAAAGCGCAAAACGACGTTTTTGTCCTATTTGGACTCGTCAGTAGCGCGCACCCACTGGATCCCGCCGGATTCGTACCTACGATTTTACTCATATGAGCCGGCAACTTACGCCACTGAGCCATGGGCGACGACAGCGGACCGCCATGACCGATAGCCAACTGTGTCATAGCACAGCTCATCCTTCACTGCCTCGCATCTTATAAACTTGTAGAAGACACGGCTGGCTACCTACTACTAATAACTAATTAGTAATCCTCTTACCAGCTCACATGCCACCTCGATTTGTGGCGGCTTGAAAAGAAGCCGAGGTTCTGGGGACCAGCCCTGTACCTAGTAGGTTTATAGCATGCATTAGAGTGGATGATGAACCGCGCTATCTCGCAGGTAGATTTCAGTCATGGCAGTCCGCTGCCGTCTCCCATGGCTAATTGGCATATGTCTCTGGCTCGCAGGAGTAAGATAGGGAGCCCCATACGGCAGGATTTGGCGTGTGCGCACCTTTGACGTGTCCCAACAGGCAGAAACGACCGTCTAGCGCTTTCTTGTACGTGTGGTGGCCGTCTGCTTGAATCTAACTGCGATGAATCTGAATAAAACCAGCCTACTTATTCACCAGATATTGCGAACCTCAGTTTGGAGATAACTCACGAGACGCAGAGAGCAAATGATGTTTATGACTGTATGGAAACTGGGAACTTGCGGTCGACATACACAAATTTACCTAAACAATATTTGACTCAAACTTTCAAATAGGGCTGAGCTTCTACATGGAAGACGTTTCCTGATGACACCTAGAAGGTCACGGTTCATAAAAATTGTTATTTCAAATCGCACCCCAGCGGAATAAACCAACAAGACTCGGATCGTTCTTTTACAATCGGAATTCTATTAATGAAAATGTTCTCATTAAGCCTTGATTAAGTGGTCATATTTTGAGATAAGTATACCGACAATGTGCCTCAGCGTACATTTGCGCGCAAGGATAAATTGTTGCCAAATTTGTTGCTAACTTACCTTGATATAATTTGATGAATCCGTTGAATTCGCACTTTTGTTTATGTTCATTCATTTGATTTATCAGTTCGTTATATTTATTCAAATACCACGGGAGGTCAAATTGATAGAACGGTTCTTGCGGTCTCAGGTAGTAAATCGCATTTTCTATTTGTGCTGATTTATTGCCTATATTGCCGCGTGCAGCGCACGAATGAGCAGCAAAATGTGTTTCCTCTCTCATCTGTGGAATTGAAATCCGAAATAAGTAGGAAGAATGGAGGTGCCTTTCCAACAGCGTTGCAAATACATAGTGGTTGATATTCAACATTGTAAAACGGTTAGGGTACTTTCCCTTTATTTTGAGTACGTTAACGGTTGCTTTTTAGTTAAATAAAAAGGTATTCATTAGTAGAAAGCAATTGTCTTCATTAAATAGCGTGGTGAAGTGGCTGAAGAAAAGGAAAAGCTTCACATATTTTCTTAGTGTTAGTCATTAAAACGTACTTAACATCAGTACAATGGATCAATGCATACCTCTTGACAGAACGTCTCCGGTATGGGACCAGTGATTACAGCCGCTGTGATATGAAAGGGTAACAGATATTAGTTAATGCAATTTTTCAAGTCAGCTCTATACTAAAAGGTTGACAGTAAATCTAGGTATTTTCAATCTAATTTACTAAGTAAACTTTATGGGTATAATATGCCCTAATCTCTTTCGAAACCTATTTTGTTACCAGAGAATATGAATAGCGTGAAATGTTTGATTGCTATAAAACGCCCAAGGTTTGATTACAGCAATTGGTATGGAACACTGCGAGGGCTCATTGCAACGAACACTATTTACTTCTAAGTACATATAGGTGATGATGAATAAGAAAACCAACCGAATACTAAACCATCAAAAATAGCTTAATGTTCTAGGTTTCAACTACTCTGCGTTTTCTAGCTATATGTGTGGCTCTCCGTGCATAAAGTTGCATCGCTCCATTTGCTCGTAACGTAACATAGTTGGGCTTTATCCGCAAAGAATTGAATCTAAATAGACTGCTTCATAGCTTCATGATATTCCTGTGCACTTTAGGTTGTCCTGCTCTTGAAGACAAAGATAACGTACAATCGGAAAACGGTTAGTAACGCAAAAGGTTCTAAGGAAGCTCTTTCAAGAAACCCCTCTAGATTCATTTACCCTAAGTGAATTGACAAATATCGCAAACGCTATCAAGGACTTTAGGCTTCTTGCCGAGGTTGAATCCAGCCGACTGCAGTTAGTGTGTTTTGAATAGAACAGAGTTTCCGCTGATAAATCTGACAAAAACCTGCAGTCGGTGGTGGACACAATATTCGCAACTGTAGAAAAATGCCAACTTGTCTTGGCAAAACAAGTTCCCTTACTTTTTAAGTTTGGTGGACAAAACAGGACCGGATTTAGGTGGGCCAGGTGCGAGCAACACTCCCAAAAATAATCCGAATGACATGGCAGGATAAGGGACTCTGGTTGCCACAGTAATAGCATAATCATTGCATCGTTCGATGGCTTTTGCAAGCAATGTGGTAAATGGCATTGCAGCCCAACACAATGTCGCGTCACACCTCCTCGGTCTGTGATACATAAAGCAGTATGATCCCAAAGTGTGGGCCAGACTCTCAAACGCATGAGCCTTCCGAAGTTTTCAAATTTATCGGCACAGAAGATGTAAGTTTGCTGCCGAACGAGCACCTCATAAAGTGTCTGATATGATCGCCTGCACCAAAGTCAAATTAGATCCAGAGAGCAAACCTAGGTTTCCGAGTTCATCGCCGCTAAAACAGCTGTTACTTTGCAGGACACTAGTCGCCCACGCAAGAATGTACATAAGGTCATCACTCCACTGGGGCTCCGTCCTGTGACCCGTCCCATAACCTGATTACTTCCAGTTATGCTACTCTGTATTACAGAAACTCCACTTATATATGCTCTCAAGTTGCTTGAGGTTATTTCACTTCAAATGCTTTGCATAGCGCAACTGTCATTGTTCTGTATTGTATATTTGCTTCACATGAATACTTACACTTGCATGCTTGTTGTATCCTCGGTTTCAACTGCTAAGTGCGTGGCCTAAAATGATTGTGCGAATAAGTTAAGCCAAACCGGTGTATCTGAGCAAACGATTAATGTTATACACGATTCCTAGACGGATTTTGCCACCGGATCAAGGTTGACGTTACCCACAGCTGAAGGACATAGGTTTCAGAAGACTGACAGTGTGACACGTTTTAACAACGCTCAGTACAACGTGCGATAACAGCTTCGGTGTTCCATGTTAACCTGACGTGTTATTTGTACGTTAATATTTGTTTACAGTTAAATGAGCGCATTATGATAATATTCGCCAAAAGCGCAGCAATCTTTCCTTATAAGGACAGTATTTTGCCTGCGAACATTTGATTAACTCAGCCTAATCCGCTCTACGTTGGCGTATGCGCTATAGATGGATATTGACATTTTATCCAGGTTATTTCCATCGGCAGTAACCAGAGGAAAGTAATTGAACCCACTCCGTCGATTACTGTGGACTGATCACTGGATGGAGGTAGCTAGTAGTAATAGCTCTAGATAGCTACATCTAAAATCTCAGCTGTACTGGTCATTTGTTTTAGCATTTAATCCCTATAACTCATATCGGAAAAGCGTTTGACAAGGAATTTTTGAATTCCGACACAGAATTCGCTTCAAATAGGTACGGCGACAAGGTTTTCCACATATTCACTACTCACCGTTGGAAACAGCGTTAATAAGCGACCCGCTTTAAATCCAGAATCAAGAGCTTGTACTGTTGTCCACGTGTGTTTCTTGGTGCGCGCAAAAGGAGCAGCAGACTCAATAGGAGGTGACACCTTATATTACCATCAGTTGCGTCTTAAGATTAATCTGCAACTGACGAACTGACAAGGTGTAAAGTCCTTGTCTCTTGCAGCGATCTTCGTACAGCACAGCTCTTAAATTGGAAATGATCCTGATGGCCACTTGCGGTAACCACGGAATCCTTTGTATTGCGCACCACGTAGTAGGGCAGTAAGCAGATAAGCTGTACTCTAGCATTGGTCGAATGATTAAAACAAAGAGAATAGTGGCCATCTCTTCGACCTAAGTTCTGATGGTCCAAAGTATACAATGTCCGTTACGGTGAAGCATATTCGTGTCGTTTACGGACTTTAGCTCCCAGCGCGAGAATACAACGAGATCCCTAACGAAAGACGCGGGATGCTAAGGTTCATCGGCGACAGTGTAGATTCGGTCGGTGAGAGCCTTACCCAGGCGTCTGGTTAGCAACTTGACCGGATTAATCGGAACTTGGCCTCTGAAGACCATGTGGAGAGGCGGTCAAGTCACACTGAAGAAAGTAGCAATCATTGGGTGGACTGATCATTCTCCCCATCTTCAAATTACCTGCAAGCATTACCCAACACAAACTGAGAAGCCGGGGCACATGGTTTACACGGATCAGGAAGAAAATGGGTCTTAGCACAGTATCTTAGGGCACACAACTATTCGAAAGAAACAAGCCAGTCAGATGATTGTCAAACTGAACGCTTCACTTTTACTTGGTTCTTAATACCTAAATGCTTTCTTCTACTACTTGACTAGAGTTGTTGGTTGCAAATTGATGCTGCATGTTCAATCACTTCACTATAACTATGCAGTCGAAAAGTTGTTCAGTATAGGCTCCCTTCTATGTTAGTCATGTCGTACATGATTCTCTAGGATGTGGTGTAACATTCTTCGTTTTTCTCAACCACAAAATGATTCATACGTATCATAAATGCAAGAGCTGTTCCTTTGCTTTATCCATTTTGCAATACTTAGTCCTTCTGGAGCTAACGTTTATTCTGCAAGGCCAACTCAGTGAAATTGTCGGCATGTTTGGCACATTCATTTCCAGAAACGCTGAACCTTATAAATCGAGGAGGTTCCTCCTTTTATTCAGTTAAACAAAATTTGAGTAAGCCACAAGGACGTCAGCTAATCATTGTCCAGTGATGGAATCCGGTAAGTCAGTCTCCCATTGGCTGTCTTGTTCGTTCCTTTGATCCACTCATTCACTCTGAGAAGACAATCCAATCACCATCCACGCTTCTGGCTGAACACATCTATGCTATACTTTGTGTGCTGCATGCCCAAACAACTTTTGTTAAATTGTCGTATTTCTCCTACTAAGGTGACTTTTATGCGTTGCGTCATTCGTCGACAAAATCATGGGAATAACCTCAGTTATTTGGTAAAAGTTCTCTCACCCTCAGTGGCTGACGTTTTAATCTTGGTATACACCCATTACTGTGAAGCAGCACATTGATGTCGTTTTCATTGCAAAATTGCAGGGGTCTATGTTAACGCAACAAATCTGGTGCAGCATCGCTATAATTTGGCACCGCCTAAGTGGCTGCCAACTTATTTCCGCATATAATTATACCTTCCGCACATCGTGATGCTGGTTGACTATAATAGGATAGCTGCAAACGTGTTGAATTGTTCCAGTTCACTACCTCAAATATGGGTTTCATTTGTTAGGGAATCTTATTTTACTACAGTCATTTCCCCTAGGTAACTTGAAATGCAAAATTAGTAGACAAAGTTCGGCAGATGCGTTCATTTCGCATCGGCTCATCTGTGCCGATAACGATAACCGGTATGTTTATAAAAGAGTTTGTGGGCACAGACATAGATGAAAACAATCCAGTGAAAAAGCAGGTGTCTTTCTTCTACCACCAGGGCAACCGGAGGCTGACCGATGATTGTTTTTGCACACAGGGAACCGGTTTAATCCGATTAATGGCAACAGCCTCGACAACACGGATGAGTTGAGAATCGGTATGGTGAAGCAGGACACTAAACCTCTTGTTGTCCTCATTTCGGTGACCAGATGTCTATAAGTGTCTGCCGATGGAAGATGCTGGCGGCCTGCGCAAACACGCAGTCGGACTTGAGTTTGTTTGCTGAATAATCCCATAATGAACCCGTTTTGATATAATGCACCATCATTCGGGAACCGTGTTCTATTGGTTCTGCTAATGTACTTATCCCTACTGTTACAAACGGGTTGATATACGCAGGGGGAGTTGGTCACAATATTATGATTTTCCTTCAGTAGAAGCAAAGGTGGCTTATGAGTTCGGTGGATGATTAGAAATTTGGCAGCGCAGAAAGTGCTCTGTGTAGCGGAAATCAGACGTCTTGTATTCCTTAAAGAAGCAACGTCACCCTTAGCGTTTGAAATGTTCGCTAAGCTTGGCAATTTTGTTCAAAGCGTATCGTCACCAATCAAAGTGACATCAACAGTGCTTAGTTGAGTGGCGTGCAATAGTGTAGCGTAGCGTAGATAAACCTCGGTGGGGTTGCGACTAAATGAAAGTTACTATACGCATGGTACCTAAGAAAAGGGTATTCCTAGAGCTGCCCGTTTAAGGAGTACATTGCTTCTTTGAGGAATACAAGACGTCTGATTTCCGCTACACAGAGCACTTTCTGCGCTGCCAAACTTCTAATCATCCACCGAACTCATAAGCCACCTTTGCTTCTACTGAAGGAAAATCATAATATTGTGACCAACTCCCCCTGCGTATATCAACCCGTTTGTAACAGTAGGGATAAGTACATTAGCAGAACCAATGGAACACGGTTCCCGAATGAAGGTGCATTATATCAAAACGGGTTCATTATGGGATTATTCAGCAAACACACCCAAGTCCGACTGCGTGTTTGCGCAGGCCGCCGGCATCTTCCATCGGCAGACACTTATAGACATCTGGTCACCGAAATGAGGACAACAAGAGGTTTAGTGTCCTGCTTCACCATACCGATTCTCAACTCATCCGTGTTGTCGAGGCTGTTGCCATTAATCGGATTAAACCGGTTCCCTGTGTGCAAAAACAATCATCGGTCAGCCTCCGGTTGCCCTGGTGGTAGAAGAAAGACACCTGCTTTTTCACTGGATTGTTTTCATCTATGTCTGTGCCCACAAACTCTTTTATAAACATACCGGTTATCGTTATCGGCACAGATGAGCCGATGCGAAATGAACGCATCTGCCGAAATTCGTCTACTAATTGTGCTTTCAAACCTTATTTTAGTTTGACTAGTTGTATTTGTCTGCCGATTGGAAGAAACTTAAGAATATTTCATGGTACAAATACTCCCGACCTAGTGGTTCACTTGCATTCATTTGGTTCTTTAATAATGGTAACACTAGCAGACTGACTTGGTTGTATGTTACGGGTATATTCAATAAGTTAATATAAGCACCTGAATTTGCGATGCAACATAAGGCATGCTTTGTGAATATTTGCATATATCATGTGAATCTATAGAATCGAAGACTGGTAGCTCTAGTTGATCAGATGGCTGTTGAACTGTTCGCTAAGCTTGGTAATTTTGTTGCAACAAAATTGCCAAGCTCAGCGAACAGTTCAACAACCATCTTGTGAATCAGCTATGCAATAGACGCGCCATCTACTGCCATGTGTCATGAGCCTTACATACCTGGGTCTGCTTTGGAAATGGTATGTTGTGGATGAAATATAGGAAGAGACTTATGAACTCGCGTTTGGGTCTTTTGCGTTACACGGCAAGTTCTTTGGCTTGATATAGATTGGCAAGGTATGTGCGCTATAACCACAGTTGAGTAGGTAATCTTTAAGCATAAAATGCTGTTCAACGCGTTGGTTGACAACAATGATTGTTTTGCATCGACCTAGTAGCTAGTATTTGCTCCACACAAGCATCTGATGATTTTACAGGAGATATTATAAAAATGACCGAGAATTTTACGTACAGCATTCACACTGCATGAATTGAACTTACTGAAATAGCCCTCGCGAGAAACTATAAAAAATGAAGTTGAACGTTAAGGTTACCATTTGGCAAATATCACGATGTTAAACCTATATTTTTGAATAACTATGCGTAAGACACTCCGCCTCGCAAGGCACCCGCTACTTGCTTATTCTTCTAATTTAGTCTACTGCAGTAATAGTGCAGCTGCAACCCGCACAGCCACTTGCAACTTAACGAGTTTTCAGATCAGTTAAACCAGGGGTGTGGAAACTTTTCGCAAGGAGCGCAACATTTTATGAGGCAAAAAATTGTAGACCCTTACTCATCATGAGTACAACTTAATAGAACAAATTACGCATGCCAAACAATTTTCTTGTTGAATTGTAAATTGTGTAGCTCAGCCGACGCCCCCCATGGCTCAGTGGCTAAAGCTGATGGCTAGTTGGCATCTGTCTCTTGTAGTCATGGGTTCGATCCCCAGTAGGGGACAGAGAGAATGCGCACCACTGACGAGCCCCAATAGGGCGAACGGCGTCTGGTGGTTTTCCGGACTAGGCTGTGCTATGCAGCTTGTGATCAGCTGGGACGAAGAGATCACAAATAAAACCAGTTTTATTGCGCTTTTAATATGAAGTGTGAAACCGAGAGCTTTAGTTTCCTATTTTTGATTTACTTAAGACCTCTTTAGTAAAGGCGCTAGATTGACTTTTCCTAGTTATTTAAACACAAAGCGTATTTTGATTTTTCCCATCAGCTGACGCCACTGAACTTTTACTCATAATATTAGTACATTTTTGTTATTTATACAATTTCGTCTGTACGAAACATTTCAAGCGTGAATTTGCAATTTCACGATGATGCCACGGGTCAGTTGATATGTTAACGTTTGCCGCATTTGGCCCGTGAGTCGCATTTTGGACATACCTGAGTTAAATGAAGTCATCTCCAATAGAAGCCCAAAGAGGCAAAATAGTCAGTAGATACTTTCGCCTCCATACTCAACACAGATAACTTTGCAGATGACGGGATTCTGACGATGGAGTAGACAGCATTAGCAACAACTCACACTCCCCCATCACTTCGCTCTCCTTAATTTTGTTGTACGTTAGCCGTTCACCTTATTCCGAATGCTCAAACCTATAGCAGTTAGAATCTGCTGCAGTAAGGTGCAATGTTAAATAAGACTAACCACACAGCAAGATATAATAGGTCAACAGCTGATAGCATTTGTGATCAAACAAGTGCAGTTGCCTGCAGAGCTCTCATCGACGTGCACAAGACAGTATGGTTGGCGGTATCAGGTTTCGGATTTGCTTGTCACTGGGACCAGCCACAGGAAGTCTGCGTCTACAGAGGTACCATGGGTGGCTTGAGCTGCACCACCCACAGCTCCATCCGCACACCCATATCCAGTATAAACCCGAAGGACTAAGACCGGGAGGCATTTTGATGGGAGTCACGTTTCATTAACCAAGCCAGCCCACACTCATTCAAAGGCAAACACAATCATGCTGTATTTTCGAATCAAGCGCACACAAGGCAGTGGCTGGACCGTGGTCCGCTCCACACTGAGTGTATGGAACCACTCTTTGATCCCAGCACAGCCACAAAGGCATTGCACCCCGTCCTCTCCATCAACGACCAACTGTCTCCTAGAGACAGTATGGACGAGGTAGTGGGTAATATACAGATAGGCACCTTGTCAATATTCACATCCAGCGCAGCCACACCGGGGATGTTAAACAACAGCCAATCACTCGAAATGACATCACCAAATAAAATATATGTGTTAAAGCATACGCCTATGCAGGCATAACTCTTCGCTAAATTAGCACAAGAAATAAGTTGGTTAGCAAGGAATCCGCAATAAATACAAAATGTCCAGCAGTTATTCAAAAATTTGCTACAAACTCAATAAAGTTAAGGAAGATAACCACAATTAGCGTAAGCATAGTGTGCAAGTTAATAGACGATTATACAGATAGGCATATGAAGTAAGTTAGTTCGCGACGAACCCGCGATAAGTGCAAAATGTCCAGAAGTTACTCAAACATGCTACAAACGCAATAAAGTTAACGAAGATAACCACGATTAGCGTATGCAACGTTGCCAGTTAACAGAAGCTTAATCAGGTAATCAGAACAATACAAATGAGGTGGAATGACATTTAACTAGCTTAAAAGTACTAAATTTGGTTGTAAGTTGGGTTAGCCCAACTGCAGCGAAGAAGCGTCATGAATGCAACATCAGCCACAGCGTGGGGACAAGACAGCATAATTCCCTTAATATATGCACAGACTGAAGCTGACGTGGTTCAATATGCTTGTGCATGTAGTTAGAGAAGTACAAATGTGTGAAATTCATCCGTGCCAGCGTTCAAAATCTACTAATAAAACTTATACCTTGGATGACATTATTGGATATTTGTAATCCCTATATACAATTGTTGATATATACGTTTATACCCAAACAAAATCTAGTCATATATTTGCTGCTTTCAGGAAAACTTTGGAAACATCTCAGACCACTTAATGCTCCTCAGTAGCTTACCTTCTCCGTTAGCCAAATTCACCACGCCAGCTGCAGTGTCGCAAAGATGTGGAAGCAGCTAACGCGACTGAGTTGCTGTGCACCACAGTCTACGCCCACTTTTCAATGAATCTGTTTTCAGCATATAGATGTTCAGGCGCCCAATATTGTCTTGGTTAGAGCGAATACGGTATACTTTAGTGAAGAACTTGCGCGTTTCCTTAATAATATATGCTACAAGCTACAGGATCATTATTGAAAATATCTTGTCAAATACACAATTAATTGCATCGCACAAGTGTGGTTGCTGTAGCAGAAAGCTGAAAACTAAACTACATGATTTTCAAAGAAAAATATATTTGTATTAAATGACCAATAGACTGAAATCAGTTTATGACATTCCAACAAATCCCGTTTCTGAAACTTGGCAGTCACTGGCATTTTAAGTAAACGATCGCCAGATGGGACACTTTTGTTGAGATGATGCCGCATGCAACCACCGATTTTCGCATGCTTGTTAAGAATCGCTGTGCAAAATCTCCAATGTTTGCAAACAACTAGCAATGGCGACATCAGCTAACCTTTATTGAAGTGATGTTTGGTGAGGTTATACTGAATGACGGGGCAACCCATGAGCTGCTCATTCAAGTACCAATGGATAAATAGTTGGGCTTCAATATTGTCCAATGGATCCATGAGCTGACTGTTGAGATCATCACTGTAATCCAGTTTGAACCTCCTATCGTCTTCATTGCCTTGAGATGCAAGGGACTCACATGCGAAACTAATTTGGGGAGTGCGATCACCAAACTACAAAGCGCCGAAAATAAAGTGCACATAAAACAATTACACTAAGTAAACAAGGGGATAGCCAGTATATAATTAAATTGTGCATATTTTATAACACTTGATAGGTGGAAGAAACCTGCTGAAGTTGTTTTAAATGCATGCTGTAAATGTATCGAAATATGGCTCACCATATCACAGCTTGGCGGAGTCTCAGCAGTAACATGGACATTCACAATGGCAGCTAGTTAAGAAAAAGATAGCAAATACCTTGGGTTTTTGCAAATTAATAATGAGCATAGAGTGACACTAATTTGTACATTAGCTTAAATATTTGTGCTAAATGTGCGAAGAACAGTTACCAATAGAGGCAAGCACTGAAGTTGTTTGACATGAAGGATCACATCCACAGTAAAGCGTTTGCATGTCGATTGCTATCGTAGGAAAGCTATAGGTGGTGACGCAAGGACAATGATTGCTCGTGGTCTGATTGAACATGATACCACTTAATTCCTAAGGAACACGGATTTGAGTCTCTTTAAATGATACCTTTCAAATATGAACTGAGTGAGTTAGAGATTTCAGTAACAAAGGAGCTACTTTAAAGGTAACTCAAGCTAAAACAAAAGTATGTTATGTGCGAAAAGCGGAACAACTGTGCTTTCTGTTGAACAATAGTGAGACTTTGTTTTCAAAATCCGAGAAACTTAACTACGAATATTGGAGAGTCAAATTTGGACTACATGTTGTGTGATTGGATTGCGACGCGCAATTTCAATGTAATGGACAGTGGTTCACATTGAAGTGAACCTTTGACACTGCGATCACTGGACCGTACTCAAAGCAGATGTAAATTTGGTGTTGCCCACCCGAAAACACTGCACAACCACGACGCGTTTCGATTAATTTCATCTCATCAGGTGGAGACAACAGGCCTCGATCTTGCGACCATTGGAATAGTAGCCGAGACCTCTACCCCTTTGGCTACCGGGCCACGGTGGGCAGCGCTTGGCACAACGGTAAATGACTAATTGGAGGGTCAAGTTTGGACTACACGTTGTGTGATTGGATTGCGACACACATAATTAAAGTATCTGAGTGCTCAAACCTTTAGACTGATTTCGGCATCAACTGATAAATTTCGAAGAAAAGATAGATTGTAAACTCGTCTTGGTTGCTGAGTATGCAAGTACCAAGAACTGTAAAAAGTACTCCCTACTGGAATAACATATATGTAATAAGATCTGATCTTTGTGCTAATTCACCCAAGGTTGCTTTCAATCACTAAAATCGTTTGACAGACTGAACTTATATCATGAATGTTAGCTGTCGTTGCGACTTTGATTTTCTACATGATAAATTGACAACTTACTCCAGCTATTTCTACTTGGATCCCGATTAACACTATCTACTTGTATGCAGTTGGATTGATTCGACCCTAGTTTGGACACTACGTTGAGCAAACTAATCGATATATCCTTGGTTGGCGGACGATCACGATCAGGAGAAATCCGAAGTTGCAAAATAAGTTTATGAGGATGATGGACGTCGAGGGTTGTAGTCTCATATTGCTCGTCTCGACAACTAACTTTGCTGAAACGCTCATTTGTTGAAAACATTTCGTCAAGTAGCTGTTTTCAATGAAAAATGGAACGAAGAGTAGGTGATGGTTAGGTGTTTACTCACAAATGTTTGTGGCATATGCATGCCAAGCGTTTAAGTAAGTAGAACAACATCGATCAACTTTTTAATTTTAAGAGGTCCTGAAATAAAAGGAAGGAAATTAGGTGATGAAACAGACCAAAAAACTAGTAGCTCGTGAAAGCTGGGCCGAAGCGGTAGACAGTGGCCACGCTGTAAACGTGCTATTCGTGGATTTTTCGAACGCTTTTGACACTGTTCCACATCTTCGGCTCTCACAAAAGTTGAGATCTTACGGGATATCTGGTCGCGCCCTTCAATGGGTGTCTGCCTTCCTTGAGGGGTGGGAACTTTGCGTACGGGTGGGGCGTGGCCTTTCGCTCAGGCAAGCTGTCCTTAGTGGCGTCTCGCAGGGCTCAGTATTGGGGCCATTGTTGTTCGCGATCTATGTACATGACTTGCCGGGAGAGCTAGGGGTGTCATCACTAATGTTTGCTGACGACCTTAAGTTCTGGAATATTGTGGATATCCCGGGGGGTCCTGAGGCAATTCAGCGTGCTTTAGATAGGTTCCGGGAATGGTCTACTTTATGATTGATGCCCATAAATAGGGCCAAGTGCTCTGTTCTCCGAATCGGAGCTGCTAATCCTCCCACCCGATATGTTGTCGGCGGTGGTGAACTACCTGGTGTCACTCAGCAGGTTGATTTAGGAGTCGTACACGCATCAGCACTTCATTCTGGAGACAATTGAAAGAAGGCTGCTTGTCGAGGGTTTCGTAAGATGTGGTTTATCCGCCGCTCTTTCGGAATCTTAACGGCCAATTTGTTTGTGAAGCTATTTTCGGCATTCGTCCGACCCCACCTGGAATATTGTATTCGGGCTTGTCCACCATATCTTAACCGAGACAAAATGGACTTGGAGAGGGTGTTACGAGTGGGCAATCGGTTAGTGCAGGGTCTACGGGGACAGACGTATCCTGAACGCTTGCTCAGTTTGGGGATGTACTCAATGCACTACCGAAGGATAAGAGGGGACCTGATTCTCACTTATCGTATTTTGACGGGTAAGATTGGCCCGCACTTGTCAGGGCTATTTGGTCCCGCTACGTTACCTAATCTCCGCGGCCACCAACCGAAACTGCATAAACCAAGGTCTGATAGGATTAGGACGGAAACTCTTCCTTCGCGCCGAGTTATAGATCGCTGGAATTCGCTTCCAGATCACGTAGTTAGGGAACCTACGATTAAGGGTTTTGCGCGCTGCTCGATGCTCTTGGGTAGCAACAGCGAACCCTTCCTTTTTCCTAGCTGACTCGCCTTCACTTTTCAGTTCTTTTTAATTGATTCAAATATCTTGGTATTCCACTTGCTTAGCTCTTTCCTCTTTCTCTTTTGCCTTCTGATTTTACTTTTTTCTCTTTCTCACTTCACGTAACCGACCCAGCAGAGACTGCTAGGGCAGGATACGTGGGCATTAATTGGTTGGACAGCGTGTGATGCGGTCTTTGTTTTAGGTCCATCCGTATATCAAAGTTCGCCAACTCCTGGTTCAACGACCCGCCGAAGAAGGAACACCCACGGGATAATCCTATCGTTCCAGTACCGCTTGAACTTGAACTAGTACACTTAAGACGCAGTGTGGATCCCAAGCTGTAAGCAGCCGGAAGCCATGGTTTCGGAAGGCGGCAGGAAACAAAGGAATGCACACTTATGATTAAACCCATTATGCCGAAACAACATTCTGCTGCTTTTACAGACGGGTGGATTCCTGCCTGACTGAGACAGAACTACGAAGAACTACATTAACTATCGCACCAAAATCCCTACCAGTCATAAATAATCAAAAGCAGTCTGCATAAAACCGCTTTACGGGAAGCCGTAGTTCTGGGACCAGCCATTGTCACTGACGTGGCGGTGGAGGATGTACCTTTCCATATCGTAGGCAACTGCTGGTCATGCAGATCCGCCGCCGTCACCCTTTACCCAAAGGCTCAAAAGAATAGCATCCGTGATTCGTAGAGTCGGAACCCATCACGGAACATTCAATGGCACCACAAACGAGACTCATTCGTTCGAAACAGATGTCTATTGCTGTTCTAGACAGGTAGGGGCTAGCCTGACTAAGAGGAAACTACGAGGATCAACGTTTTATGTTAACCCAACTCCCTACTACTCACTAGTAGGCAAGCGCTTTTCATAATGGGATCGTCTGAATAACCTCACTGAGCGTGTAGATGAATCGACTATAAAATGTTCCAAATTTCCCGCATTTGAAGTATTACGGCTGCTTCCAGCTTTACATCTGTCTGCTGATTACATGACGTGTTCTAGCATAATGCACGGGTCCACACCCACGTCAGGTTAAATATTCTAAAACTTCATTTAGGCACGGATAGTTGAAAGTTCCTGGTTAAGAATCGATACGCTCAAGAAACGGATGAATTCCAACCCAAATATACACCTTGGTATTATAATTGTAAATCCTAAGCACATTTAGATCCTAACTGTTTCCACACAGAACAACAGCGGCGGAGCACTTTACTGATTTGAAAGAAACCATTCCCAAACTGAATTCGTGTTAAAGATGTATGCACACTGATACTTTTACTGTTATCACACAATATCATGGAAACTCACATCATCACAATCTAAAGTTTTTGAACTATTAACGTTTTCTTTAGTATGTACTTCCAAATAAAAACTGGAATCTGCAACGAAATAACCGACGTCACCATATTCTAAATTAGTTATCATGCTCAACATAACTCATCAAGGTTGCATATCAAAATTGTTTATGCATGATCGCAACAAGTTACCAGTAATTTTTTGTTTATTTCAAACGCACAGGCCGTTAAATTTACTTTTGCAACTGGTAAATCAACCAGTACTGTAACTTCAAAAGTAAGCATACTGTGTCATAGAGTAGCAGCCAGAATATGGGTTAGAAAATTGGTAGTAATATCGTACTACCTGCAAAACATGTGGAATTCGTTTAAGGATAAATGGGAATGAAATTTGGGTCTGCGTCTAAAATTGCATCAGGTTATTTGTGTTTTTTTTATCAAAGTAGCGCCTTCGAGCTATCCATCAAACTACATATAATGTGCTTTAATGTAGTAGGGTTTTATTCTGCTCATTTAAGCCGCTAACAACACCTAGATTTAGCCACTGTCTACATGAATGAACACATTAATTTTAACCTGTTATTTTAGCAACACACAACAAGAAAAATTTGCTACCATTCTACTTGGACAACGGTAAATTTCACTTGGAAAATTAAGTCACTCAAACCGTTTAGTAATTATTTTTTGGAAATACTGTTGTCGTGAAGACCTACGTTAATAGGGGCACATTATTCAGACTACATATGCGGTGAACTAGTGTAAGCTCATTGTTAAATGGATCGATTCAGATAGACAAGATGTTTACGTAACTGCAGCAGCCTTACCAAATATATTCAGAGGCTTACACCAGTTTGAACCCGTTACCGTGAGGCAAGAATCTACTTCCGAATTAAGCATCTGGTTTATGAATGCAACTTTGTCAGCATATTTTGCGGCTTCCGGGAAATTGTCTAGTTTTGACGAGTTCACTGTAATCGAGTATGGTACGATAACTTTTCCTTCCACTGTAGTGATGGGTTGCCTCGCAATGCACCGTAAGATACCGCCTTTATCCCACACTTTTGGTGATCGTGAGCGAAGCTGTAATCAAAAATGCAGTATTATTATTTGAGAACAAATGTTGGTATGAAAACTTACGAGCTGACATGTTTGTGTTCCCTCTTCCGGTGGAGTTGGTAAAAGAAGGCGAACTGCGACATCTAAGAATCGAAGTGAGAAAGCAAATTGACGCTGCTTACAAATGTCAACAAGGGTAACGTGAGGGAAAATTTGGTAAATTTCAAGTAAATACGAGCTTAAATTAACTGCCACATGAAGATAGAAATTAACTCCAACGAACTAGGTATGCGCCGTATTTGCACCATGACAATTATATAGCAATGTTTATCTCAACTATATCACCACAGCTGGCACACCAAATGACTAGTTCGCTTATAATTGCTTGTTCATATAGCACTGTGTATTTTAAATATGTTGTAGCACAGTCCAACATGAAAAGCTTACTTAAATTCTACTTGTCTACGGAGCATATGTGTGCGTGACTCCCTGTTTTCTTGCTAAACATGGCGTATTGGTCTCGGTGTCAAGCCGAAATGAGATGGTCTTAATTAGTTTACAGCCGAGCTAAGCATACTGCGGATACTGGCGGCTACGTTAAAGGTTCAATACTAAGCATCGCGGTGAGTAGCTTGAAAGTTAAACATTTGGGCACGTGGTCAAACTGGCAGCAGTGATTGGGTCCGTAATTTAACCAATATATATACCATTACTATGGTACATTTCTGCATAGTTAATCCCTGGTTGACCCATTTGCTAAACCATTAGACCGTGTAGACTTGATGACTTACAGCGTGTTAAAACTTATTTCATGATTACGGATTAGTAGTTAATCAGTCGTTCGGGTTAAAACAGGCTAAATTTGACACAAACAACTCAATCAGCAATTGCTGTGACACTTGCTAGTGTATTTCTTATGATAAGTGGCAAACAGTCCCATCTCTTCGAAACTCTTCTGCACTGATGATGTTACAGATGACGAAACATCGCAGCATATAGTTGACTTCAGTTACCTCCGGCTCTAAAACCATATCATTTAAACTGGATTCCTAAACATTTCTTTCCCTGCTGACCACTGAAAAATATGGAATGAAATTAATGCGGTACCATAGCCTCTAATTCAATAAGACGTTCAAAAAATACTTGCTAACCAACCTGCGCATGGTCGGCTAGTGCATTAAGGTAGACGAAAATGTTTTAGAGGATTAGGTAGTTGGTGGTGTCCATTCTGATATAGCAAGTGAACGACGTGCTCCAGATATATCATTGTTGAACACTACACTGACAAAATATAAAT